GCATGTGACAGTTGAGACTGTGTTGGTTTGGGCCACTCAGAGGCTGAGGAGGTGAATGCCTCACCTATGCACAGTTGTTGCTGAAAACCAAATATATCTTGAAGGGATGTGATGTCAGTTGTGCTTTACCCTGAACATGCCAGCACAGTCCACTGGGGAGCTGCAGAAGTGAAAATTAGCTTCAGTTCCCCACCTAGTTGTTCAACCCTAAGCCCAACTTTTAATGATAATATTAATCTGCTTCGAAGATATGCAGCCAGAATTGTTTGATTCATTCTAGTTGGTTGGCTGATTGACTGATTGACTGATTGCCTGATCTCGGTGTAGAACCATTATGCAGGATATTTAAAAGAAATGGGAGATAATTTAACAGTACAATTAAAGCCACATTAATATTTTATATGCTATTATGTCTTTTTAAAATAATCAAGTCAATCTGTGCTCCACAGATTACAATTCCTTTTGATTAACTAATGAAAATGTTCTTGATTTATTTAACAATTACATTTTTAAAAAAAGGTCTACATCTCTACCATTCATCAAGCTGGTAGACAAGTAGTATTGAAACTTTCCCTAATGACTGCTCAACAAGAAGACAAGTGGTTGAAAAGACAAGAAAGGTTTAGATTGTAAGAATCAACTTTCCCCATCATCATCAAAAGACAACAGCAGTGAGATCAGTGACAGCTCCAGTATAAGAAACAGCAAATGTGTGTCTCTGGTTTATTCATCTCCACATTTTTATTTCTGCTTTCTCTCAGCATCAAATAGAATTTTGCACACTTATCTTTGTTCCTTTGCACCTGAAGCTGGGTGTGTGCATGCATCAATTTGACAAGAGGCTTTGTGTGTTTTCTGACTTTGACACTCTCTGAAGTTGTTTCTATCTGATGCAGCTACTCCAAACTGCCTATGATCAAGAGTTCATGGGTTGCTTTGGAAGAAGAAGCCTTCTATCACACCTTGATGAAAAAAATGGGATAAGATTTTTTAAGACTCCTTGTCTGTAAGCACAGGAAAATTAGAATGATCTTTTTAATAATTAATTATTGATTAATCATGATTAACCTATCTATCTGCCTGACTGCCCGACTACTTGTCATATGTCACATATCGTACATCACATTATATATATCAGGCTTCAGTTTGAGAAGATTTTACAAAGGTCTCTTTCACAACTGATAGCACTTTGATACCTGTTTAACTGTCATGATTCCATCCTACAGAATCTTGGGATGTATTGCTTCATAAAATATTTAGGCTTATCTGTCACAAGAATTCTGGTGCTTCACCAAACAACAAAACCCAAAGTTCCTAAGGATGCTCCAAGCCTCTCATCTGCTTGAGCCCATAAACAGCAGTATTCTTGTACTACATCTTTGGGCTGGGCTGCTTTCTATTTCTTATGAGCACGTTTTCTAGGTACAAATCTCTTTTTTACCTTTATTTTATTTTATTTTATTTAGTTTTTGCTGCCTTCACTGTTGATTAGTTGTTTATCAATCCAGCATATTGAAAGAAATTTTACAGCTCTAGAAATTTCTCCTGCTAGTTGCATATATTGGTACATATAAATTTTTAAGCAATATACAGAAAATTATATTTTTATAGATATAAGTGCAATGACGTGTTGTCTGTTTCATTCTTAATTTGTCATTTGTATTTATATGTGTTTTTATATAGCCCCTGAAGAAGGCCACTGAAACAATTATATAGGCTGATATGCATTGGGCTTGTTTCAAGTACAGTATGACTCCAGTATCTATATAAATGGTACTTGCAGTTTCCCTTACCAACATCCAAAAAAATATGTTTTCTCTAGAAATTTTCTAGGTCCTTGTGCAATTCTATGGTATGCTCTGAGCAGAAGTTGACCATAGAGTCATGCTGGAGGTCCTAGAAATTCCAAGACGTGTTCTTTCTAGAAATTTCTAGGTCATCCAGTCCAACTCTGTGGTCAACTTCCAGCAGAAGGCATTCACTTCAATAGGTTTCACTATTATCTGCTGTGTCACTTTTCCATGGTAAGTCCAATAATGTATCCACTCAGAATACAGGGGTTGTACTATAATAAATAAAGACCATCTACAGAGCACTTGGAGACTTCTCTCCCTCTTTCCCCCTGTGGATTCCATTGCATGCTCTTCAGTATTTGTCTTTAGATACTTGTGCCTTATATAGTAGTCAGCCCTCTAAGCTGATTTGTTTAACTGCTTGTAGGTCACTATTCTATACTATACTCTGCTGTATTGCTTCAAGATTGCTTGATGTCCTTGATCACTTTAAGGAACTCTGCTTCTGTGCTGCAGATGAATCTGTTTGCACCTCTGGAAAACATGCTTTTCTTAGGACATTATCACACATGGGCCAGAAAGCGATAATAAAGTGGAAATGAGGCATTCTGAAAATAAATGGAAAATAAACCTTGATTCCGCAAATGGCTTTCACACGTAATTACCTTAATTGCGAAATTACAGTAAGCGCATTTAACGTTCACACACAAGTGGGAAAAGCCTGTAAATTAACTAGAAATGATCTTCTTGCACATGCGCAGATAGAGGAATGCTCGCTGTGGAACCATGGGAAAAAGCAGGGGAGAAAGCCACCCCGACGCGTCGGGAGGGGCTATCAGTTGCATCGGCCTAAAACGGGCTCGACGCATTCCGATTGGTCAAGTAGCCCGGAAGTCCCGCCTTCCGGGCTGCTCAAGCAATCAGGGTAGCCAGAAGGGGATAATCTAGCGAGACTTTAAGTCTCGCGAGATTAATGAGCGTGATTTGGACAGGCTATATAAGCCTGGGCTGCCTCGTGGCCGGCAGCCATTTTGAGGATTCAAGCGAGCAGGGAGCTCGCTTCTCCACTTTGTTTCCTCGGGTTTGGGCCTACTTTCTTGGCTGGAG